TATACAAATTGGAAGGGAAGAGGCGAAACTGTTACTATCTGCAGATGACATGATACTCTGTACAGAGAACCCTAAAGCCTCTACTCCAAAAGTCTGCTCCAGAACTAATAAATTAATTCAGCAAGGTTGCAGAACATAAGATTAATAATCCAAAAAAAATCTGTTGTGTTTCTATACGCTGATAATGAATTAACAGAAAGAGAAAGTACAAAATAATTCCATTTAAAATTGCATCAAAAAATATATCTAAGATTTAATTTAACCAAGGAGATGAAAGATCTATACATTGAAAACTATAAAAATTGATAAAGGAAACTAAAAATGATTCAAAGAAATAGAAAGCTATAACATATTCTTGAATTAAAATAATCAATATTATTAATATGGCCATACTAACCAAAGCAATCTACAGATTTACTGCAATCCCTATCAAAATGCTCATGACATTTTTCACAGAACTAGAACAAATAATTCTAAAATTTGTAGGGAAAGACAAAAGACCCAGAATTGACAAAGTAAAGCAATCCTGAGGAAAGAAGAACAAAGCTGGAGGCATGACCCTTCCATACTTCAGACAATGCTACAAAGCTACAGGAATCAAAACAGTGTGGGACTGAGGGGAAAAAAAAACAGACACATAGATCAATAAAACAGAATTGAGAGTCCAGAAATAAACCCACCTACTTACAGTTAATTAATCTATGACAGAGGAGGCAAGAATATGCAGCAGAGAAAGGCAGTCTCTTCAACAAGTGGTATCAGGAAAGCTAAACAGTCACATGTAAAACAATGAAATTAGGACATTGCCTCACACTATATACAAAAATACAATCAAAATGGTTTAAAGACCTAAATGTAAGACATGATACCATAAAACTCTTAGAAGACTATATAGGCAGAACATTCTTTGACATAATCATAGCAATATTTTCTTGAATCAGTCTCCAAAGGCAAAAGAAATAAAAACAAAAAATAAACAAATGGGACCTAATTAAACTTAAAGGCTTTTGCACAGCAAAGGAAACCATCAATAAGACAAAAAGACAACCTACGTCATGAAAGAAAATATTTGCAAATAATATGACCAACAAGGGGTTAATATTGAAAATATACAAACAGCTCATACAAATCAAAACCGAAAAAAAAAAATCAAAAAACAGTCAGACCTGAATAGACATTTTTCCAAAGAAGACATATAGATGGCTAATAGGCACAAGAAAAGATGCTCAACTATGCTAATTATTACAAAAATGCAAATCAAAATCACAGTGAGGTATCATCTCACACCCGTCAGAATGGCTATCAGCAAAAACTATACAAATAACAAATTTTGGAGAAGATGCAGAGAAAACTGTTGTTAAAAATGTATATTGGTGCAACTACTATAGAAAACACTATAGGTTCCTTAAACTAAAAACAGAACTACCATATGATCCAACAATTCCACTCCTGGGTACACATCTGAAAAGAAATAAAAATATTAACTCAAAAATATACATGTAACCCAATGTTCATAGCAGCACTATTTACAATAGCCAAGACATAGATGCAAACCAAGTGCCCATCAATAGCTGATTGTATTAAAAAGAAATATATATATATATATATATATATATACACACATATGAATATTACTCAGCCATAAAAATAATAAAATACTGCCATTAGCAACAGCATGGATGGACCTATAGAATATTATGTTTAGTGAAATAAGTCAGCTAGAGAAAGATAAATACTATATATCACTCTTGCATGCAATCTAAAAAATATTACAAATGATTGCATATACAAAACAGAAACAGACTCATAGACATAGAAAACAAACCTGTGGTTACTGAAGGGGAGAGGAAATGAAGGAGGGACAAATTAGGAGTTTGGTGTTAACAGATACAAACTACTATATACATGATATATCAGCAACAATATATCAACACAATATATCAGCTATTTACTGAATAGCACTGGGAATTATACCCATTGTCTTTTAATAAGCTATAATGGAATGTAATCTGCAAAAATACTGAATCACTATGCTGTACACCTGAAGCTAACACAACATTGTAAGTCAGCTATACTTCAATTTTAAAAAATGAAAACACAGAGCATAAAATAGTACCACTTAGTATTAAACACATGGTCTAATGGCATATGTAAAGGATATTTCTCCAAATGAAAGACCACCGAAAAATGATAGCTAGGATAGTGAAAGAGATGCAAACTGTCATCTCCTCCAGTGCTGACTGAGTCATGAATCCCTGGCAAGAAGTGGCTGTCTAGCCAACCACACCAGGTGATGCTGACTCTGGAGTCAGAACCCTCAGCCCTTTATGCAGCAGCCCATTCTGTTTTCGGAGAAATTTTAATTTTGACATCTTTTCTTTGTCTTTTGTTTGCTTAAACCAAACCCATATAATATTATTTTTAAAGTCTTTCCCATATCAGGTCACATTACACCCAAATGTCCCAAGACCTCCCTCAGAATCACAGCTATAAAGTCTAACTTCCCTTTCATTTGGTATCAGTTCAGATATTTAGAGAATTAGCACTTGCACTTGCAAGTCTTGTCTTCTCAAAACAAGTCATATCTAATTTTTTTAAGCCTCTGAATCCCCTCAGTATTATGTTTGCTCTAGGAGGTCATCTTTGAGTTTATCATTGTCCATCTTCAACCTGTGGATTCAGCTCTCAGTTTGGGGAGCATTCTCTATTCTGAGTGTTAACCTATTTTAGAGCCCCTTCTCTGTTCAGTCTGCCTGTTAATATCATCTACATTCTAATTGCATATTGGCCATCACATTGGAGACATTTACCTTCTAAACTCGAATATGTGTTTCTTCATACAACATAAAATGTCTCTGCTATATTCACAATTTATCTCACTCTTAACTAATGCCAATTTTAAAAATATATTCTGGTATTTAGACTGGAGAATATAAATTCTAAAAACCTCACCTAAAGTTTTGAGGAAATAATTCTTAGCAATAAAAAATAGGCATATTCAGTCCCTGCAGAGGTGAGGGGAACGATGTTAGAATCTCCCTTTGTCACTTCAGGTGAAGACTTGACTGTGTGGCCAAAGGAGAAAGAGCCAGGGTTGGGAAGAAGAGGCTGCAAATGGGAGTGAAAGTGAGGTTCATTGTTAGAACATGAATCCAGAAGAGACAAGCTGTCCTTTCATTCTGCTCATGTTACATGCCTGAAACTTTTGTTAAAATGAAAGTTCTCAGTACAGACAAATTTCCATATGGCTTTAATGTTATTTAAAAATCCCATCAAAATCAAATGAAATATTAATTTTCAATATAACCTCTAGTCATTTAATAAATTAATAGTGTTTCTTTTTTGCTAATAAAAATAAAACTACCTCCTATCTACTATCAAAGTACATCTGAAGACAGCCAGTGTTCCTTGGGTTCACAAGCAGGGACAGACTGCAGGATTTCATATAAATTCAAGGAGGGAAAAGAGGTTAATTGACCAGGATTACTTAAACTGGCAAAAGGAACTATGAAAGACTACACTGAAATATTCAAAGATGTAATTATATTTCAGAGTGTCTCCAAATCACATCAAATTGATATTTTAAGTGCCATTTGATGTTCTTTTTGATTGGAAAAGCCCTGTGAATGACAGACAGTTTTGTGCTGTGCAAATGAATAGTTTCCTCTAATTCTCTCCACATGACTGCCCATCCTTTCCCTATTATCTCATCCAAGTTATAATGGAGAACTTGTACAATGATGATCATATGCCTCATCATGCAGTTCATGACATAAATTTAATCAACAAGGCCTTTATTTTTTTTAATTTGGCTGATTTAGTATACCTGGTGTATATTTAACTTCTCTCCTAATACTCCTTGAAATATACTTCTTTTTCTTTTCATTTAAATCTATATTTCTGTGCATACAGAGTGTGAGTTTCCTTTGGACCCCTAAACACCATCCAATCTGATGTGTGTGTGTGTTTGTGTGTGCATGTATCCACCAGCTGTACCTGGGCAGACAACTTACAGACAAGTTACTCCTTCCTTGCTATTACTGTTTGTCTGACAGACATGGGAAACAGTGCTGCAAGCTGGCATATTCCCTTTCTAGGAAACCCACTTTTCAGAAGAAAATGTTCTTTGCTTCACTTATTGTTCTTCATGAGGACACAAGTGATGCAGCCCCCTATGTCTCCCTTTAGTTGCATTAAAGGAGGTTTTCTCAACAGTTACTAGCCAAGCCTTGCCTTCCTGGGCATCCTTCCTATCTTAATTCTTTCCTCTGTAATTATAGGTGCTGAAAGAAAGCAGTGATCACTAATGTCTCAATTTACTGTCCAACAACTGAAAACAGAAAATAAACAAAAAATAAAAAATAAAAACCCCATTGTAATGCTTGATAAAGGACCACAGGCAAAGAAAGAGAAAGTAGAAAAACTAATCATACCTTCTAACGAAAAGAAAGCCATCCACATCATACGCACACAAGCCACTGAAAGAGTATGAGGTCGTTTCTATTCTTGTAGTTATATTTTTAAATATAGAGTGAGCAAATGTGTTGCCCTCCAGAACTAATGAAAAGAAAAAAGTCCAGCCATAACTCAGCTTCCACTTCAAATTAATAATATACCTCCAATATGGCAACCTAAGTCATAAGTACAATAAAAATATCTTTAGCCATTAAACTTTATGTGTAATGTTTGAACATGCTAAGATGGTGTTTAAAGGGACAAAATGACTTTAAGCAAACAAAAATTGTGTACAGGCTGAAGCATATAATATATTCAATAGTTCTACAGATAAAAAAGGTATAAGCCCACCAGAGGACTGTCCATATGCCAATAACTTCCCCCAGTCACTTTGGAGCTAACAAAGCAGAGGAACTACTTAATTCAATATATCACCAAATAAAAGAAAATTAACTTCCTTCTTGGCATAAAGAAAATAAGTCTTCAGGCAAAAATGGTATTTCATTGCATCCTGATGATACAATTAAAATAAATTCAGTATTTACCTTATATGATTAAAAATCCATTGGACACTTTAGAAGCCCAGGCAGCTCATGATGCAGCTTTGCAGTGGCAGTCTTCAAGTCCTATAAATAAAAGGAAGTTGAAAGAGAACATTTAGAGCAATACATGTCTTTGTAGAGTGATGCTGATTAGCTATGAAATGTTTATTATCACTCCTCATTGCCATTTTGAAAGTAACTCCCTATACACTACTGTTATCATAGATTTTGTTAAATGTACAAAACAGAAACAAAAATTGTCTTTCTGGGACTTCCAAGGCATCAATTAGGCTCCAGATTATGAAATACAACAAAAAAAATCATTCAATCAGATGTTATTTTTACTGGGAATGGCTGTTGTACTAAACTAAAGCATTTGTAATTGAAATGTTTTCTTATTATACACATTACCAACATAAATGTTTTTTGTAGTCATAACACTGAGTTATAAGTAATAGGGGGTGTTGGCTCCTTATTTCTTTTACTATTGACCTCTTTAATAGATTCAAGCAAGTATTCTTACTTTATGTCCTATAATTTTCCTGGGGAAGATTAATAAAATGTGGAAAATAATAGTCATCCATTTGATAACTGATATGCAGTATGTAGGTATATAGGTGGCTTCTACTTCTAGACAATTTACACTATACAGGATAAAAAAATTAATAAGTTAAACTTTCACAAACATTTTCAATTATCTGTGGAATAAACTTTTTTTTAAACAGTATTTTCTCCCATATAGCTGCTAAGAGAGAAATAAAGTGACAGGCAAGATATACTGTTACTTTGCAGATCCCAACATTACTTCTCCATGTTCTTCAAATACCAACGCATACCATTAGGTAGAACGGGACAATATTCCATTCCTCTCCAACACTCCCTCACTCCCAGCCTCATGTGTGTGATATTAAATTCGGGCACGAATCTCAATGAAGCAGCATCAGGGACACCCGGGCCTTAACTCCCACCCTTTTCTGAAAATCTCAAATCCATTAAGTGGCAAAGATCATGTTAGGAACAGAGGTAGGGGTAAACGGTGCTCCTGAGATGTATAACTTTGCGAAAGCCCGTGCGGCAGGTTGGAACAGGAATAAATGAGCATCTTTTTATCCCATTGCAAGAGGGATGGTATCAGGTCATGCTTTAAGGGCTAGACTCATACAAATTACATCACCAACTCAATGCTTCTAAAAGCTGTGATCAGGAACTAAATGTATCTATTTAGCATATATAAATACTAAATATGTATCTTAAATACTTATATGTTTATATAAATATAAATGTACTTACGTATAGCACAGTGTATATTTATATATATAATACATTTTTTTTTACTAGTTCCCTCACTATGTGCTTGTTTCTTTTGCCTATTCTTGAGTATTAAAAATCACTTTGAAGGAAAGATGCTTTCCAGCCAAATAAATTCTGTACAGCGAATAACATGTCCCATTAGATTCCAGAAAGACATCAGAAGCTATATTTACATTAGGGAGAAACAAACTTTGAAAGAAAATGTTAACCGTTTTTGGCAAGAAAGAGAATATTCTAAAGTTCAGAATAATGGGACACTAGGCCAAAAATACTGAAATGCCAAGAACGGCTGTATAACATTTTACAAATTTCTGGATATATTGCAGAACTATCCTGCTTTCCTGAAAGCATATCAAATAATCCAATGCTGCATCATCTTCTAACTCTGCATGCACAACTGTCTGCCTTGTTCTCATTTATTAGTCATAATTCTACAGTAAACAACCCTGAAGTTCTGCTGAAGGCTCACTGTGCCCAGAGCTGTGAGAGGTGCTTCCATATGCCCGTCTCATGTAATCAACAAGATACATACAGCGTCACACTTTGCAGACAGTTGCCATTGTCATATATTATATGCCTCAGCATAAAAATCCTAAATTGGAAGTCACGTGTCCCATGAAATGAAGTGCTGTTTCCAACTAATTGCAAGTTTTCAGTTCTATATCATTAATTCACTTAAAATGTTTTTTAATGTCTAAAGTGTTTACTGAGTAATTAAAATGTATGTGGAAAGTGAAAATTATCAAATAAAATCTGTTATCTAGTTACTTGAAACTTATATTTTAATATTCTAGTATGGTGGGCGGATGATCCTACAATATCACAAGTCCTTTTGTTTATTTGTTTTCTTTTTTAAAATTGAAGTATGGTCAGTTTACAACATTGTGCTAATTTCTGATGTACAGCACAGTGATTCAGTTATATATATATGTATATATATATAGTATATATATGTGTATATATATATATTCTCTTTCATATTCTTTTTCATTATAGGCTATTATAAGATATTGAATATAGTTTCCTGTGCTATACAGTAGGACCTTGCTGTTTATCTAATTTTATATATACTAGTTAGCATCTGCAAATCTCAAACTCCCAATTTATCCCTTCCCACTCCCTTTCCCCTCAGTAGCCACAAGTTTGTTTTCTATGTCTGTGAGTCTGTTTCTGTTTTGCAAATGAGTTCGTTTGTCTGATTTTTTTTTTAGATCTCACTTACAAGTCCTTTCATTTATGATCACATTTAAAGATTAGATAGATACATGCTATCTTTAATGAAATAGGAAATGTGTGTCTGTTTCCAAACCACACATTAGAATGTCCCATTGTTGCTGGGAGAAGACAATTTTAATTAAGACCAAATATTGTTTAAGAAAGATTGAAAAAGTAAGCCATAATGGCTAAATAAATGGCATGCATGCAAAAGAAGCAAGCAGCTGTAAAGGATTAGAGGGAGACTATTTTGCTAAATGAAAAAAAAACAATGAAATGAAAACAAAGTTTGACAGATAAGGTAGTAGAGAAAGAAGGTGGGAGAAAAGTGTTGACAAAACCCATAAAAGTATGTGTCTGTGGGTGTTTCTTTTGGTGGAAGTTGAAGGAGTACAACTGTCAAAATGGAAAGTCCTTCAGAGTTTGTTGGGTTATTAACAGAATATTGAAGAAAAAATGTAAAGCTTTGATTCCTAAAGAGTAAATCAACAGTTGTAATAAAGAAGCCGATAATCTGTTCTCTGATACAATAATCTGATCTGTGATACAAATCACATTCTGGATCAAATGGTAACAAATAAGGTAAGAAGCCAGTCCCAGATGTGGTGCTGGATCACATGACTCATTCATCTTAACCTGAGGACGTCCTTGGCACCAAAATGATTTGGGAAACTCAGCCATAGAGTTAATAATGCTCACAAAGAGAAAAGTATGAAAATCAGTTTCATAAGAATTGGTGCATGTGGGCTCGACTGAGCCTGGAACAAGACTCGGAAAAAGAATTTGAGGAAATATGCCCTCAACATTTTGATTGAGGCACACAATTTTAGATAAGTGATAATGTGTAGAACACCAGAAATGGGGACTTGATGAATGTGTATTGAGTAGACAGAAGGAAACCCAAGCAATGTATAAAAATAAAATCTGACCAAATGCTTAGAATGTTCAACAAAATTCACACGTATAGCAGGCAAGGTACCTACTAAAATTCTGATTGCTAACCTCGAAAAGGTGCATAAAACATACACAGAATTCTTTTACCTTAGGTGTACAAAAATTATGTGTTTTCTTCCCCCAAGATCACATGAGTAGTTACTGACAGAAATAAAACAACATTCCAGGCTTTCTGGCTTCCACGTCAGTTCCCTTTTCACTACATGATACTGCCTGCCTTATTTCCAGTCTCTTGCTATAATAAGCTGAGTATATGTTACAGTTGAATCCCAAATGTGCAGGCAATACTATGCAGATAATGACTCTAAGTGCAGCACTGGATTGATGTGTGGATTAAAGCACAATGCACTGACCACAGTCCCAGCACTTAGTGAGTAATTAAATGACAGCTGTTATTGTTATTATTACCTACAAAATGAGAGAAAGTATTAGTAAGAGGAGGATATAGTGAGGAAGGGAGAAAAAATATTAAAGAGATCAATGAATACTCTATGCCAGTAATTTGAGATGGATTAATATTTTTTAAATACATCAGGGCTGATTTTATTGCTATTCAAACAAAAGTGACTTTAACTTTAAGGTTAGAGATGTGCAAATGTAATTTATAAAAGAGTACGTGTTTTATTTACTTCTTTAGACAACGAGTATAATAATCACCAAGGATAAGCAATATTTTAAATTGATTCAAACTGCATAAGAATATGCTTTAGGTTTATAGTAGTGTGCCAAGAAGTATTTGAAAACAAGGGGAAAAAAATAATAGTCTTCCTGAAACTCCAATGCTATTTTAGAGGGAAAAATACATACCTACACTTCGACTATTTCTATGTATAACTATCATCAATTTAGAAATTCATATCTGTATCCTTACAAGTGGTTAGGAGGAAAAGTTTGAAATCCCTGCTTTAAGCGAAAGGGTAGCAGTTTTACCATGCTTCTCTCGTCTTCCACAACATTTTCTAGTGACTCGCATACTTTGTTTCAAGGTGAGGGAAAAGGGAGACTTTTTTCAGAGAAAGTATACAGCAGGTATATGGCATCTTCTTCTAAAAGGAAAGTCATTCTCTCACATAATTTTTATCTGCTATAATTAATACTTGGCATACAATAATCTGTGGGCTTTGTGCAACCTAACTCTCAATTGATGTAATTAAAAACCCATATTTAAATATATACCAAAATGACTCATTTGTTACTGTTGTAGCTTCCACACAAGACTAGTTCTGGGGCGCTAACACAGAGAAAATGAGGTTGCAGAACTTATCATGGTGAAAAGCTCTGAGCAGTGAATTTCTTGAATGATCCCTTAAGGAAAAGAAACAGCACCACCTCAGGAGCTTCCAAGTAGTCTAGAGCCTCTGACTTGGAATTCCATCAACGTGCTGGAGAGCTCAGAATCTGGCTTAGAGAACTGGTCCTCCACACACTGGGGAGAGAGAGACCCTCTCATATACTACGAAGGCCAAATGTTTCGAATAGTTATGTGGCATCTGCATCCCTTCATATTATTGTTTTTTCTATTTTGTCATAGAAGAAAGAAGTGAAATAACCTGTCTACTATGTGCTTAGGTATGATGTTTTAAAAACATTACTTAATTTTTTCA